TATTGTGTTGAGAAACGCAGTGTCCCTGCTTTCTCCCATGTATACATGTTATTAAACTTGGTATTATTTTCTCCTGCTAACCTGTCTTGTTGATTATTTGGCCAGCCAGAAGAACCTTAAGGGAAAGGGCAGAGGGAGATTCTCCCTCTTCCCCCGACAGGGAAAAGCTGTGACCATAAGATCTGCAAGGATCTTAAGCATTAGGCAAAAAATTTTTCTTTTGTAGAGAGGAGTAAACAAGGCTGGAAAGAACCAGAAGTGGAAGAGTGGGATGAAAGGGTGATGTGATTGGATAGTAGATCAGTGAATGTTTTACCCCGAGGCCAACCTATTCTCAAGAAGCATTGTATGCTGGCTCAGGCAAGGGTGTGCCAAAGTTCAGGGGCCTGGAGGAAGAAAAGAAGTTTAACCAAAGTTTGGCTAACAAGCATTTTGTTTCAACCAATCAGTGGGGACAAGCAGTTCAACTACTTATTTATGAGGCAAAGAATGGGAATTTTGAGGGCCTGTGTCTGGCCTTGTTATAGGTAAACAAAGGAGCATCCATGAATCTTATCTGTCATATGGGGAAGAATGTCTTTGCAGTAAGCTGTTTCCTGGAACACAAAGTGGGGGAATTTCTTAACCTTCACTGTTTTCCAGGATCACGGGGCTCAGGTAAAATTCAACATTATCATATAGGAAAGAAAAAGTTTTATTATCGAATAAGCATTAAACTGGATATGATGTGCATCACAGGCAAGCGACTAAAGAGATTGCAAAGTCAAAAAGAAATCTCACCCTTTTACGCAGCCAGGCAGATATAACTAATTACATCCATGTTCTCAAGATAAAAGATAACTAGTCCTCAAGTAAGAGGACTTGATGTGACCATTTGTCAGACATAAATTCTTCCTAAATGCACCTAGTTATTGGAGTGGCCCTCTATGTTAGCTTTTATCCAAAAGAAAACATTCCTGGTGATACTGGCTCAACATAAGGTTGACATGAGGGAAGCCATATGGTAGAAAAGAAACCATATTGTAACTTTGAATGACCACTGATTAACTAACCCAGCTGGATATGCACCCTCCAGGAGATATACATGCTCTGTAGACTTTATAGCCTCTCCCAGCTGTGGTAAGTTGACAGCTTTGTTCTTTTGAGTTCCTTAGGAATGTGATGACCCCCAGGGAGAGAGTCTATGTTGATAGCCATCATCAATGACAACTGAAAGATCTAGGTATAGGGCCTTGCTCTGGTCTCTGATGCATGCCCAGTAAAACAAAAGACTGTCAGAAACTAAGACCAGATGCCTCCCCCACCTAGAGACCAGTCGCCTACATGACTGGCCTGTGGTCTTTGTTCTGTAAGATAGTTCATTTGGACATTAGTCAGCCCTTGATAGCAAGCTGTAATAAAACCCTTTCTCTCCTACCCCCTTGCCTCTTGACTATTGGTATGCTTTGCAGAGGGCAGACGACCCCCCTTGGGTGGTAACACCGGGTTGAAAAATTGACCAGAAACTTATTTAGCTTTTAAAATAAAAAGGTTTTACACTTATAAGTTTTCTAAAGTAAATGCTCTAAAAAAAGAGACAGTGGAAGTCTCATCCCTCTTTTTTGGCACCAGAAGAATTAATTAAAAAAATTTTTTAATTTGTATTTATCCCTACAATACCCTCCCTTTGTTACTACAAAATAGTAACACTACAGTTTTAAAAATTACTTCCATTGTCATTTCTACATTTCTCTGGGCAAACTGCAGCCATTTAAATACCTAACAAGTCCATAGTAAATTACAAGGCAATGCAATTATAGGATTAAAGTAGGATGGATTAAAAAATTCAGTACATTATTTGCTTTGGGGAAAAAACCTTTAAATATATTATACCAATGGTGAGTGTGTAAAGTAGATTCTTGATTAGCAATGTGCAAGAATTCTCCATCATACATTAATTTTACAAACTATTGTGATGCTTTATTGGTCAAGCTTTCAAATGATTAACTGTCTGAGTATTACTTAGTAGTTCCTTACAAAATATTACCCAATCCAAGCCTGAGAGGGAGCTTAACTCTTGAGCCTGATAATCTAAATTTTTAACCAATAATTTTTCTTGCAAGGCCCAATAAATTTCTCTTGAGCTTCTCTCAATCACATAAGTACCATAACATTTACATGATGACTTGGGCCCTTCAGTAATTGCTTCAGCTCCCCAAATAATTTTTCCCAGATGTGAAACACAAAGACACCCATAGCCATTATCTAGTATCAAAATCTTAGTATAAGGCACCTGTTGAAGAGTAGAATTTGAACTTGCAGTGTTTAATGTATATGGCTCTAATTATTTTAAGCTTTGAGGACGAGCCCAATCTATGGACATTTTTTTGGCATTTGCCCAAATCAATAGTTATATTATTATAGCAGTCAATTAAACCTCCGTGAACAACAGACAGCCTTTGTTTATCTATATATATTGGGACTGGAGAGAACTTGCATTCCAAAGTTAATGGAGTGACACTAGACCTGTCCTCTGAAGTCTCTATCTGTAAATAACAGATTTGTTTGTCTAGTAATTAGATGCTTTTCTTTTCTATACCATCCTTCTATCTCTTTTAGGATAGTCATTGTCCCAATACCTAACTGTTCCCTTAAATATGAATAGCCCTGTAATTTTGAACTAGTGATTATATCTTGGAGCTCTTTTAAAGCTAATTGCTGTGGGACTATACAAGTGAGTGCCTCTGAGAGTTTTGTGGGATTTTTGTTGTTCCAGCATTAAACAGTCCAAGCAGTCCATTTCCAAATTTTAACAATAACCTGTTTATTTTCTAGTAAAACATGATTCTTAAAGTAATCGAAGTAGCCACTACTGTGAACAGGACAGCAAGGCAGTCTATGAGAATAGTACTGAGTTCGCCAGAATACTTCCTTTCAGTTGAATTCAGTACCAATTTCAGTTACACTAGAAAACTTAAGTTTCAAATCCTCTATGGGAACCACAGTCCCAGTCCTTCTGGGGTGCTGGCTTCACATGGGAAGCATGAATCCGTTTGGATTTTTCTTTCACTTTGGTAGCCATGTGGGTGATCAGCAGCATTTGAAAGGGTGGTGACAGCCCATCTTTCCTCCAGAAGATGTTTATGTAGATGAAATCTCCCAGTGACTTCTTCCAGCAGATCCTTCCAGGTCCTTTCGGTTTTATATCTCAAGCTTTCTAGGAAAGAGAGAGTCTCTTGTAAGTATTGAAATTATTATGCGAGTAATCAGTTAAAATGGGCACAGGATGTGGTCTCAGACCCAAATTCATAGGTCTGTCAAACAGAAGTTCAAAGGGAGCAATACCATGCTGGCTTAAAAGGATGGCTCTAATTTTAATCAAGGCTAGTGGTAAAATTCTAGGCCATTTTAACCTAGTGGATTGTGGAAGCTTAGTCAATTATCTTTTAAGAGTTTGATTCATCGGCTCTATTTGTCCACAGGACTGAGGATGAGGATTGTATGATAGCTTACAGGAATATGCAAACATCTGCTTAATCCTCTATCTGATTCAATAGGCTCTGGTATCCCAAAAGGGGGAATTATGTGTATTAAGAGAGCTTTACCGTTGTCTAAACATCTTTTCTTTCCTTTTTTTTTTTTGAGCAGGAAAGAATTCAGGCTGTCCAGACATCACATACTGCACAACTAGACAAAATCTCTTACCTTTCACAAGCCTTGATTCTATGAAATCCAACTGCTATCAGGTTCCAGGAGAACTTCCTGTGCTTATCTTGGGAGTGGCCTGTAAAGAATTCTGTGGACAGGGCCAGCCCCACGGACTAGTGGTTAAGTTTGGCATGCTCTGCTTCGGCAGCCATGGTTCGGTTCTCAGGTGAGGACCTATACCACTTGTCAGCGGCCATGCTGTGGTGGCGACCCACAGACAAAACAGATGAAGATTGGGACAGTTGTTAGCTCAGGGTGAATCTTCCTCAAGCAAAAAGAGGAAGACTGGCAATGGATGTTAGCTCAGGGCAAATCTTCCTCAGGAAAAAAAAAATCTGCAGACAAATAGCACATCTCTTAAATACGTTTTGAATAATTTCATCTTTTTGGTAGGCATAGTAAGAATCCAGTGACTTTAAAGTCCCTCTTTTACTCAAATGATTTTGTTGATTACCTGACAATAGTAACCAAGTAAATAAGACAACGGTACAGGAATAATTTTGTTAGGTAAGTCCCATAATCCAGGCAAATTTCTTTTAGCCTCTTTTTCAATACTTTTGCCCATTTCCTTTTGTGAAGCATATTTTTGAAAATGAACAAAAGTTTCTTAGTAAATTAAGAATGGAGCTTCTAAGTTTGGAATCTGCCATGTTTTCTTTCCAGCTTTATTGAAATATAATTGACACATAACATTGTGTAAGTTTAAGGTGTACAACGTGTTGATTTGATACATTTATAAACTGCAAAATGTTTGCCACCATAGTATTAGCTACCACCTCCATCCTGTCACATAGTTACCACTTCTTTTTCGTGATGAGAATATTTGACCTACTCTCTTAGCAAAATTCAAGTATATGATACCGTATTATTAGCTATAATCACCATGCTGTACACTAGATACCCAAAACTTATTAATCCTATAACTGAGAGTTTGTACACTTGGAGCAACATCTCCCCATTTCCCCCATCTCCAATCCCTGGTAATCACCACTTTACCCTCTGTTTCTCTGAGTTTGTCCTTTTTGGATTTCACATAACATGATGTCATACACAGTATCTGTCTTTCTCTGTCTGACTTATTTCACTTAGCATAATGCCCTCAAGGTCCAGCCAAATTGTCACAAATGGCAGGATTCCCTCTTTCTCATGGTTGAATAATTTTCCATTGTATATATATATATATATATATATATATATACCACATCTTTTTTATTCATTCATCTGTTGATAGACACTCACTTAGGTTGTTTCTATATCTTGGCTATTGTGAATAATGCTGCAGTAAACATGGGAGTGCAGATATCTTTTCAATATCCTGTTTTCGTTTCCCTTGGATATATATCCAGAAGTTGGATTGTTGGATCATATGGTAATTCTATTTTATTACAAAAGAACCAGAATAGCCAAAGCAATCCTAAGAAAGAAGAACAAAGCCAGAGGCGTCACACTTCCAGATTTCAACTATACTACAAAGCTATAGTAATCAAAACAGTATGGTACTGGCATAAAAACAGACACAAAGACCAATGGAACAGAATCAAGAGTCCAGAAATAAACCCCTGCATATATGCTCAACTAATGTTTGACAAGTGTGCCAAGAATACCCAATGGGGAAAGGATAGTCTCTTTGATAAATGGTGTTGAGAAAACTGGATAACTACATGCAGAAGAATGAAATTAGATCCCTATCTCACACACAAAAATGAACTTTAACTGGGTTAAAGTCTTAAATGTAAGACCTGAAACTGTAAAACTCCTAGAAGAAAACATAGAGGTCTTAGCAGTGATTCTTGGATAAGACAGCAAAACCACAAGCAACAAAAGCAAAAATAAATGAGTCGGCCATATTTTAACAGCAGATTTTGCAGCTCTATCAGCAAAACTACTACCTTTAGAAACTTTGTCATTCTGCCCTGTGTGAGCTCTATAAGAAATTATTAAGAATTTAAGTAGGCATTGTAAAGCCTCTAACGAATAGCTGTCAATTTTCCATGAGATATTTGGAAAAATCTCCTATTTTTCCAAATTTACCCTGTGGCATGACAGACACCAAACATGTTTTAGTAGTATATGTCTCCACTTTAACTCCAGAACCAAGCATTGCTGCTCTAGTAACTGCTATTAACTCATCTGCTTGTGCAGGCCTAATTCCAGACAAAACGTAAGCTTTCAAGATTTCATAAGTCACCACAGCATAGGAAGCCTTAAATAGGCCACTTTTCTCTCGAGTACATGATTCAGCACTAAATATTATCAAATCTGCACTTTGAACAGAAATGTCAGATAAATCATGTCAGGTTTTTCAAAATTTAGAATTTCCAAAGCTGGGGGAGAGGCTCTAGCCAATTTCAGTTATTCAAAAGCCTCTTCAGATTCTAGGGACCAAACCAGAGGATCTGGAGAATTATTATGCAATTGCTCTGACAGAGGTTTTGCCTGCCCTGTAAAAGCTAGAAGCCACAGTCTACAATACCCTGCTAGTCCCCAAATTGTCTAAGTTGTTTTTTTGTTTTTTTTGTTTTGTGGTAGGCAATTCCATCTGCAAAATTGGCTGGCTCCTAGACTGTAATACTTTGCGGTCTTCAGCTGACAGTAGATGCCCCAAATATTTTACCTCAGTTTGGCAACGGTGCACTCTGTCTAGGAAGGCCTTATGCCCCTGGGAAGAGGGGACCTATAATAGAGTCACAGTGTCAGCTTTGCACTGCCCTCAGGTTTCTGACACTACTGGCAAATCGTCTACATATTGAATAATTGTGGGACAAATTTCTCTAAGTTTTCTGGTAAATGACTAGAGAAAATAGTAGGAGAGTCCCCAAACCTTTGAGGAATGCTTTGCCATAAATACTGGACTCTTTTATAAGCAAACACAGGCAAGAATCTAGATTTGTGTGCTAGAGGAACAGAAAGAGAGGGAGAAAAAAAATCAGATTATAGATCAACAATAGAGACAAAACATTGTAGATGATGGTACCGATGGCACAAGTCAGAATAGCCTTAGGCTTAGGGACTATAGGGGTTCATGGAGCAAATTTACATACTTCTCTAAGATCTTGTACGAATCTATATAGTGCTCAACCAGCTTCACAAAATTTTTCTTCCTTCTTTGCTGGAAGTATGGGAGTATTACAGGGTGAGTACCATTTTTATTTCTTATTATCTCCCTTTTTTTCTAATTGTTTTATAGCCAATTTTATTCCTTCTAATTGAGCTCTCAACAAAGGCTATTGTTTTACACATGGCCATGCCTTAGCCCTTTGGTAAGCTATTTTTATTGGTTCTATATCTCAAATTAAAGCAGTATCATTCTTCCTTAGGGCCCAAAGCGATGCATAGGTTTGTTTCAGCTTAGGGTGCTTTTCCAGCATGGTATGACACTGCCACTTTCTGCCGTATCCCATTTCATTCAGAAGGCACATTGTAACCAACTCAGGTACCTTTTTTTTTTTGCCGTAGGGAGCTCCAGACACTCCATCTTATGTAAGAATATGATAACCTCTCATTTGCACAGCAGGTCTCTCCCCAATGGGTTTACAAGAGGATCAAGAGAAAGTAAGAAAGGATGTCCCTTAGTCATAGGACCTATCTGCATGAGAACCATGGACGAAAAGGAAAACAAGTAGAAGGCTGACCCGAAATACCAAAAACCAGTATTGATCTATCACCAGATAAAAAGTAAAGAGTGCCTGAGGAAATTCCAGAATAAGTAGTACCAGTATCATCAATTCCCACCTCCAAAATTCCTGAATCTGTCCACATTGAGCCATTTGCCAATTATCCCCTAGCCTTCTGGGCTTTCCCAATTTCCTTGTTCCTCTAATTTCTGCATCCTTCGAAGTTTCTTTCTACAATTCCTCTTAGCTTCTTGCAAGAATGAGTCTCCCTTCCTAACTCCATTCACAGGTTGTCCAGAAGAAGGGTTATTCCTTTAGTAAATAGTTTTAACTGAGCAGTTAACACAACAATTTTTAATTTCTTCTTTTCTTCCTTGTCTTTCTTTAGATTGTCAGAAAATGAGGTAGCTACTAAGATTTGAGTAATAGTCTGTCTTTGCCATCCTACCACCTTTAGCCTAATTCGAGTTTGGATAGTCAGCAAGAGAGCCCAGCCCAGACAAAGGTGTTTAGGGCCAGATGGCAATATTGATCTGTCCTTAGATCCATGCCAATACATTTTGAGAAAGCCTCAGCAAATCGCTGATGGAAATCAACTGAGGGAGACTTGCCTATTTTCTGGTTACACTGCTGCAGATTCTCCCGGCTCACCTTTAGTAGAAAGGCTTCAAGCACAGCTATTAACAACCCTCTTGCAAGTCTTTAATGACCTTCGTTCTTCCATACTTGGGGGGGAGGGTAGTGGTTTCCTTTGGCGACCATGCACCTTGACATGGTAATCTTCCAGACCCTGACATGCTTGCTCCATCAAACTAGCAAAGTCCGCTGATTGCAAAATTCCACACATCAGCCAGTGCACATCCCCATGCGTGGGGCTGTAAACTGAAAACACACTACAAAGTATTTCTAAGGTACAGGGAAAAGAAGCCTTTAAATGAGTAATATCAGCTTGCTAGAAAGGCAAGTGCATTATCTAGGAGGCCTCGGTAGCTTCTCAATGTTGTCACCAGCATTGCTGGTAATCCAAATAGGACTGGCCGGTTTTTCTCATATTGAGACAAGAAAAATGTAAATTATGTGGTCTTTTGGTTAACCCTTCCATGTTGACATTTGTGGGGGAAGAGGGAGAATCCCCCTCTGCCCTTTCCCTTAAGGTTCTTATGGCTGGCCAAATAATTAACAAGACAGGTTAGCAGGAGAAAATAATACCAAGTTTAATAACATGTATACATGGGAGGAAGCAGGGACACTGCGTTTCTCAACACAATAGCGGAAATTCTCGTCTTAAATACCATGTTCAGCTTAAGACAAAGGAGAATGTTGGGGGTGGGGGGAGTCAGTTACAGGAGATTACCACTAAAGCACAGTAAACAAGAGTAAGGTTATTATGCAGATTTAAGGCCTCACTTTCCACATTGATAAGTTTCTAGAAATGAGGTCATCCCCCCTCTTCCCAATACAGGGAGGGAGATACCTTTACAAATGGCGATTTCCCTTATAAATGTAAATGTTTGTCTGGCAACTCCTTGCAGGGCCATCCAGAGAATGTGGCCAGAGAGACAGAACTTCCGATAAGATGGGCTTGTTGGTGCCTTTTCTATTGTAACATCTATTTTACATTATATTACAGATCTTCTATGTCAAATTCTTTAGGCAGTTAGTAGGGGAGGTCAAATGTCCGTCAGAGAAAACAATCAAGGTAAAGAGATAGATTTCAGGGTGGCCAAACCTTGATCTCCCACACATTCATCAGCTTAACACCTTTTTTGGTTTGCTTTGTTCCAAGTGACTAGTACGACTACTCTCTATCCTGTTGCCTTCATATGAGGGCATGGTCTTTTATCCAAGTTCTCAATTATTCCATGATCATGTTTCTTTATCATTTCTGCTTTCCTACCTACCAGCTGTGTGGATGATTTGGGAATCCAGTAGGTGAAATCTGGGCTAAGACATGGAGTGGACTCAGGCTAGATCAAGAGGTACACAAACCTAGGTCCTCAAACAGAGCAGGTAATTCATTAGCAGTTAACAAAGTTATGCCTTAGTCCCTCTGTGTCCTAAGAGGACTAATGAAAAGAACCATCCATCCAAAAGATCACAGCCTCCTTCTTTCTAGGAATTGATTTGATATAGGGAAAGATCTAGAGAAGCAGGGGAGCAGAGAGAGCTGTGACGGCAGAAAAAAGGAGGAGAGTTCTGTGAAAGAGAAAGTGTCTTTAATTCTCTCATTTCCTTTTCCATTTTTCCAATTTTTCCTTCTGGCTATCCAAGTCATATTTAACATTCCTGTAAGAATGATGTTAATACCATAAATACCAATCATTCACTTGGTTGAGATGAGGCCCTTCTGAGAACCTCTACATATATGTTAATTTATCCAAATTAAAGGAAGCGTCCTCAGGCCACTGCAAGACTAGATTCTTATAGGTATACCATTCCTAATGTGACAGAGATACAGTCACGCTTCACTGAACAACAGGGATATGTTCTGAGAAATGCGTCCTTAGGTGATTTCATCATTGTGCAAACATCATAGAGTGTATTTACACAAACCCAGATGGTATAGCCTACTAAATACCTAGGCTATATGGTACTAATCTTATGGGACCACCATCATATATGTGGTCTGTCATTGACGGAAACATTGTTATGTGGCACATGACTGTAGTACCTGTTAAAAAGAAAGAACTATAGGTAACATTACTGGCTTCCCATATATTTCCATCATCAAAGCTGATGGTTATCCTGATGGGATTTTAGAGCCCATATTACCACACTTACTTGATAGTAAAATCTTGAATTTGGAGAGGTTGGTTCTTCTGACAAGTATTCCAAAAGTGCAGAGAGCTAGAAGGGAGACTTTGTAAGTTAAGTCTCTTACCTGATTGTCGTGTGTCCACAGAACTTCTGCTTATTCACTCGATTCAGGAACTTCCAGAAGTCTTATCCTCATCACCAGATTTGTTGGGGTAATTAATTAGAAACAAAATCTCTTGCCAACTCAGAAATGCCTCTCCACAAATTATAGGAAAGAAAGAAAACAGTTTTATTATTTAATAAGCATTAAACCAGACTGTGACGCCTATCACAGACAATCTGTTAAAGAGATTGCAAATACAGAAAGATACCTTACCCTTTTATATAGCCAAACAGATACAACCCATTACATCCATGTTCTTAGGATAACGGTACTTATTCCTCAAGCAAGAGGACTTGACAGCACCATTTATTACACAGCTCATTCTAAATTCACCTAGTAATTGGGGGGCAGGGGGGCACCATTGTTAGCTAATTGACTTTATCCAAATAGAAAAAAAACTTCTCATATCTTTAGGACAGGAGGTGGTTTTTTACAGCTTGGAGAAAGACACTGAAGTTAAACTCTCAGAGACTGGGAGACAGGGTGCTATCTTCCTTGATGTTTACATTTCCAAGAGGTGGCTCTCAGTTACTTGAGAAAACATTCCTGCGTTGTAAAACTGGCAAGAGGCTTATTTAGCTTTTAAAAGATTTACATAGATCTCAATGAGGCAGAGAAAGAATTTACAAGTTTTCTAAAGTAAATGCTTTAAAAAAAGGGAGTCCCATTTCTTTATTTGCACTGGGAAGAATTAAAATTTTCTTTCTTATTTTATTTATTTAATTGAGGTATAACTGACATATAACATTATATTACTTTCGAGTCTACAATATGATGATTCAGTATTTGTACTTCTTTCCTATTTTAAATTTTTATTTGCTCTTATATATATGCCAAAGCGGAGATGGGACTCCTCTGATTATGGACATTATATAAGACTCCATTTCGCTAGTAGAAATGCTCTTGCTACGCTGGTGGCCTTAAAGAAAAAACCTGTCGTGTTGTGAACTGCCTATGGAGGGGGCCAGTATGGAATGGGTCACATGTCATGGAACTTCAAGCTGTGTTTAGGAACTGAGGCTGGCCTCTAACCAACAGCCAGCAACAACAGCAAAAACCCCAAAACTTCTTAGCACCATTGCCAACAAACTGAGTGAGCTTGGAGTTTTTTCTAGTTTAGCCTTCAGATGAGAACATCACTCAACTGACACCTCGATTGCAGCTGGGTGAGACACTAAAGCAGAGACTGCCATTGAGTTTTACCTGGGCTTCTTACACATAGAAACTGAGATAATAAATTTGTGTTTATTTAACCTGCTAAATTAGCGCTAATTTGTTATGCAGCAGCAGTAGAAAATGAATACAAGAAGAGTAGTCAAGTATCTTTACCCAGATATTAACGCTTTTCTTTTAGTCTTTCTTCATTCCTTATGTACCAAGTTTCCAAGCTTAAAGTGGTTATCTGGTAACAGGTAGAAATAAGTTTATGAAACATTTGAGTAAGTAGGAGTTGTTCACTCCTAACAAAGTTGAGGGTAGCTGGAAGGAGGTATGTGGAATGGAGGTGAAGGCAGGCCTTATTCTGGGCTGAGAGGGAACCATGATTGATGAGATAACCAAGATAGTGCCCATCCTTCTCCAGTTCCCTTCAGCTTATGACCCTGTGGACTTATTTCTGGGTGACTCCTTCCACATTTAGGGATAGATTGTCAGCCTAAAGCCTTTCCTGCTGGAGATCCAAATACCATTTAGATGGTGGAGAGTCCTCATTTACACACTCGCAGGGCACAACCTGCCCTGAGTGGTGGTAGTTCACTTGCTAGAGGAGGAAGCACAATGAGATCGTTCAAAGCTACCTGCTCACTGTAGAACTGGGGTCACTCCTTGCTTCCTGGTCTCTCTCCACTCAGAGTAGCCCTGACAACAACAAAAACAGAGATCACCCCCTCGCTCCATTAAGTACTCTACACCCCAGTGTGGATCTCTGCAAGAAAGTGTCGCTGATAAACAGCAGAATCTGCAGGGTACCTCCACGTGGGCAAAAAAGAGGCCAAGGCCCAGGCTCCCAATTTCTTCACCCCATAGCAGGAGCACTCATTCTGGTGGAGAAGGAGGGGGGACCCGCTCCCATCACATGTGGACAAGCTAGCAGTGCCTCTAAGTCAGTAAGTCTTGGTTCTCTTCAGTGTGTCTGTAATCAGCGCTATACTCCATGGCACTACTGTCTATAACACTACTGTCCAGGGTATGTTTCCTTAAGGTCCAGAGATCAACAGGTCAGTGGGGGGACTGGTGTAGAGGCAGACAGAATGAACAGATCATTTGCCCAGGTAGCTTTCTCCCAAGCCAGTGCTAAGTCCTCATGCACTATTCTTTTTTTTTTTTTTTTTTTTTGGTGAGGAGATCAGCTCTGTGCTGACATCTGCCAATCCTCCTCCTTTTTTTTTTTTTTTTTTGCTGTGGAAGACTGGCCCTGGGCTAACATCCATGCCCATCTTCCTCCACTTTATATGGGACGCCGCCACAGCATGGCTTGCCAAACAGTGCATCGGTGCACGCCCAGGATCCGAACCGGCGAACCCCGGGCCCCCGAGGGGGAGAGCACGCACTTAACCGCTTGCGCCACCGGGCCGGCCCCATGCACTATTCTTTGAAAGTGAAGGCCCATTATGTTATCCAGGCCAACTAAGAGGACAAGGGAGCGGAAGGAGGTGCCGTTTTTCAGAAGGAACTGACATTTCTTCTTTTCAGCTCACATCATCTCCAGTCCTTCTGTTACTCAATCGACTGATCCCCCTTTCCTTTCAGCCCTTTTCCTCCAGCTGCCCTACTTGACCCGTGCTGGTGTCTCCCCAGTTGTAGAAAACCCAGATTCCTTTTGCTCCTCTCAACTGTGACGTAAATTTGAAAATTATCATAATATATATAAAAGAAGGTTTTTAATCCTCCTAGAATTGGATTTTGTGTCTACTGTGAGGGAGTGTTCCAGTTGCGTTATTTTTCTATTTGGATATCCAGTTGTTCCATTGTCATATCTTAGTAAAAAGACTGTTCTTCCTTCTCTGCAACGGCAGTTTTAATAATCAGAGGTCTATGTATAAATGGGTTTTTGGGACACTCTATTCAGTTCTATTGGTCTATTTGCTTATATTGGCAAATAGACCACAAATTTTTAATTATTACAGTTTTTAAAAGATAATTCTTAATATCTAGTAGAGTAAATCTTCATTTTTTTTTCTTTATTAACAGTATATTAGGGCCGGCTCCGTGGCTTGGTGGTTAAGTGCGCGCGCTCCGATGCTGGCGGCCCGGGTTCGGATCCCGGGCGCGCACCGAGGCACCACTTCTCCGTCCATCCTGAGGCTGAGTCCCACATGCAGCAACTGGAAGGATGTGCAGCTATGACATGCGACTATCTGCTGGGGCTTTGGGGGAAAAAATAAATAAATAAAATCTTTAAAAAAAAAAAAGTATATTAACTCTTCTTGGCCACTTGCTAGTAAATTTAAAGTTTAGAATCAGCTTGTCAAGTTTCACACACAGAACCTATTGAGTTTCTTTCTGGGGAACTGGGTATTACCATACACTATAGATTAAATTTGGGGAAAATTAACATGTTTACAATATTGAATACTTCTTTCCATGAACATATGATAACTCTCTATTTACTTAGATTTTTTCTTAGGTTTTCATTAATTTCTATAGTAGCTTTTATATTTTTAATTTTTTAGTATATACTTTATATATAAATATAAATATATGTATATATTAGGCACCAGGTATTTTTGTATGGTAATTTGCAAATTATATTTTGTTTAATTTCATCTTCATACGTTTGTTGTTACAGAAACAAAGTGCATGTTTATATATTAATCTTATACTCACCAACTTTTTAAAATACTGTTATTGATTTAATAGTTTATCTTTAGTTATTGTTGTTATTTCTGTAGATATCCTTTACTTGTCTGGTAACATAACTTCTTTTCTCATGAGTGAATGATAAATTTTACAAAACACTATTCTGTATCAAGTTAGAAATTATTTTTTCTCATTTAATCTGTCCATGAGGTATGCCAGCCCTGGACCTACTCACTCTCAGATCGATACCTCACTCTTCCCCTGTTCTGTTCTCTACTATATAATGTCTCACTCCCATTTCTTATGCTATGTGCTCTCTGACACCTGGATGCCAGCTCAGTTAGGCCAGGAATTGGTGACAGCTGGAGATTAAAGACCAAGAGGATCAAAATGCCCAGAATTTTTCAACTTCTTCCTCTCTGAAGCAGGTGGCTTCTTCTTCAAGGGCTACCTTATCTCCATGGCTCTAACTTCTTTCAGTAACAATACTTTTTCTCTTTGTTCCTCTAGCCTAGAGGTATAAGTGCCTTCCTCAAGTTGCTAAGTATTGTTTTGCTCAACTCTCCCCGATTGGCTTCCTGAGTAACTAATTTCCTGCACTAAATTCTCTGAGTTATATATTTAGAGTGATTTCTGTTTGCTGGATAACAGTTATATATTATATTTTATATATATATATATATATAACACCAATTATATTAATGTATTTTTTCATGTGAAACCCTCCTTTCATTCCTAAGAAAAACTTAACTCTGTCACATGTGTGTGTATACGCATACACATAAATACACACACATATATATATATTCAAAAATTCTAAGAGTATATGGAGATATTTATTCAACTTTTAAAAATTTCGAGCATGACACATAAAGCTCAACAGTATTACTACCTGTGGGAAACAGCCCAAGTGGTACTCGGATATTATAGCCTTAAATAGATTCATCAGAAAAAGAAACATTTAAAACATCCAAATGATTCAAGAGCTACAGAAAGAATAGCATACTACACCCAAATAATTAGAAGGTAGGAAATAATGAAGAACAATGCAGAAATGATGAATTAGAAGACAGTACAGCCACCTAATGAAAGCCAGGTCTTTTTTTTTTTTTTATTTTATTTTATTTTTTTTCTTTTTTCCCCCCAAAGCCCCAGTAGATAGTTGTATGTCATAGCTGCACATCCCTCTAGTTGCTGTATGTGGGACGCGGCCCCAGCGTGGCCGGAGAAGCAGTGCCTCAGTGCGCGCCTGGGATCCGAACCCCGGCCGCCAGCAGCGGAGCGCGCGCACTTAACCGCTAAGCCACGGGGCCGGCCCCATAACTTAAAATCTTAATGTCAAGAGGTGAAGTAACTTTTTTTCAGGGTTTAAGCTGAAGACTTCCTGATAACAAAGGCTGTCCTCTTTCTACTAACCTATCACATTTTTGAAACCTGGTGGTATT